AATTTTCTTTTTTATTATTATTACATTTTTCTTTCTTTTGGGATTGCTGCAGATTGCCACAGCCACAGCGACAGTCGCTGCTGCCACTGACGCTGCTGCCTATGCTGCTGCCGAGAGAGGCCGAGAGTGTTGAAACATTTTCGCGTCATTTGCAGATTCTTTTAATATTATCATTTTTGGTGGGCCTTTTGGCGGGTCTCTTGAAACGAGATTTTTGTGGGCAGACTGCTGCCCAATGGCCTAACGACATGGCAACCATAGGAAATAAAAGATCGTTTAGCACTCGGAGGCCTCTGGCGGCCAGAAACTCACTCGGCTGGAGAGGCGGTTTTATGTGAGTGGTGGATGGGAATTGTTGGGAGCTTCAGCCATGTTGGATCTGTAGTTTTAGAATGTGCCTGGGTCTTTTGTCCCATGCAGTCCTACGAAATTTTGTACATTGGTACGTATTGAATCTGCCCCGTGCTTTGTGTTTCCATGCCACACACTCGTGGCCCATAGTTAAAATTAAAAATAAAAAAATAAAAAGAGATGGCTGACTAGCTCTCATGTTTTGTGTCTTTTCATCATGGATTCCCTCAAGCCGCGACCAAATCAACCCCAATTCCGCACTAAGCTCCGCCCCTCTGGTGGATTAGTTCCACCGCTAGCCGAGTGCGTGGATATGGATCCTCAAACCGCTGCTCCCTGATCCGAGTACAACTGCAAATTATCCTAACTGGCCCATTTTAGCCTGACAATTAGAGAGAGCGACGATGGCGGCCTGCGGTGTAATTCAATCTGCATATGGCACTGTGACGGGGCAGGGCAGGGGAGGGACAACGACAGGATAGGGCAATGTTAAATGGAATCACAGCGGTGGCCAACAATGAGCCTAGACACAGGCGACAAAGGGGGACAAAGGGGCAATTGAAAGGCCCGAAAATAGAGCCAAATGCAAAAAGCATGTACCACCAGAGGAAGAGGAAGATGTGAAAGAATAAGAGGCATCGTCAAGCCGTCAAGAAGAAGCTGCAAAGAGCAGAGGCAGAGGCCCGAATGGCATGAAATTTTGTCAAACGAAAATACGGGCGTAGATTTCTATTAAAACGTATGGACGGACAGGGACGGGACAAATGAAACCGGGCGAACCTTTTGTCTTTTGTAATTTTATGCGACAATTTTTTTCGTTGCTTCCCCAACGCTCTCTCTCTTGTTTCTTCCCTGCCCTCCCCACCTATATCTCACTCTCTCTCTCTCTCTCTCTCTCTTTGCTGTATCTCGGTCTTTCGGGACTCGAGGTAAATTAGAATATGGCGAATGGAAGGAAGGAGCAGGGGCAGGAGCCTACAAAGCATTTAAGGAATGCGGGGGAAAAAGTATTGAATAACATTTTGATATGCTTAGAATTCGGTTCCAATGGATATAGCAAATGTCAACGGCAGCTGCGTGACTCTCCCCCATCCCCTCTCCCCACCCACCGGAGCAAGAAATCGAATGAAAAGAAAAACGAACGAAACGAAACGAAACGAAAAATGAACCCAAGCTCAAGTGCAATTGAATGGAAATGAGAGACACGCCCCTGCCGATTGTCAGCCTACGTTTGGGGAACGAAAACAAGGAAGAAAGAATTATAATAATAAAAAAAAAAACAAAAAACAAAAAAACTTGAGTCGCTGACCACGCAAAACACATTAAAATTCAAATGCTTTGATATACCAATTAATTTTGTTCGTTGTCGTTGGTGGATTCGACAGCGAAGCGAATCGGACTGGTTGGAAAAGTTTTGCTCGTCTTTTGGGGCCTGGGGATGCGCTGTTTTCTGTTGCGCTTGCCGCCTCAATTAAATGCAACGAGACGCGATAACAAGATTATCCGCCGCAGACATCTTGAGACAATATCTATGTATATGCCATAAAAGCAGCACAGCATTCCCCCAGCCTGGCTCTGGCTCTGACTCTGTCCGTGGTCCGTGGTCCGCCTCTCGAGCTGCCAAATTGGCGTTTTGGCAATGAAACGCAAATGTTGCCCGCAAAGTTGTGTCCTCATCCTCGACTCCATCCTCAATTCCATCGTTGTCGTCTTCGTCTTGTCTTCGACGTTGTCGTTCTCGTCTTCTCGTCTTCTTGTCATTGATTCGAATTTTATGCGCACGCAGGAGGAGAACCGCCAGAAAAGCTTGGAAAAAAGCGAATTTCCTAACCGCTTTACAGCCTTATTTGTCAGCCCCGACGCTGGTCCCGCTGCCAGTGTCCCAAAAACTGTTGTGAATGCTACAGTTTTGGCAAGTGCCAGCCCCAGCCGCCCAGACAGAGCCAGAGTGCACTTGGTTGCAAAATAAATGCCAAGGCGCTCCTGCTGCAAGTGGAAGGAGCCATCATGACGAAGCCGCGATGGTGCGGCCAATTTGAGGCTAGATAAACGTTAATCAGAAGCGGAGACGCAACCGCAGCCAGTTCTCTGAGACGAACTTTGGAACGGAATAGAACTTCCATTCCAGATATCGTTCTCTTTATTTATTAAACAAAGCCAATCACAAATTTAAGCATAATTCTTTCATCCAAATCGGATTATTACCCCGGCAAGTGTCATGCACAATTGTCTCCCTGTCTGGCTGACCTTATCGTAGACACAGTCCACAGTCTGTCTGTCTGTCTGTCGTCGTTGTCGTCAGAGTTCCGCGTACAGGCAGAATGCAAAAGCCCCTCGATGCAGTGCTAACAACCTAAGCCGATCCCAGGCTTGCCGAAAATAAAGGAAGGAAGGCAGACAACTGCAGCCAGTTCGAAACTAGTTTTCCCCCCACTTACCGACTTCAACTTACCCAACTCAAGACTGGCAGACAGTGGTGTTGCTGCCGCCTCGATACACTTCTTCCCCCGGCCCAGGGAGTCGCAGATGGAGGAGGCCCTGGCCGGCGCATCAAGTGTTCGCCGAGGCTTGTTAAAGTTCATTTTCGATGCAACGAGCTGCAATAATGCATAATTGTGCTCATTAGTCTTTTTGGGGCCAACGATCGTGTATGAATTTAAATTTTAGCGCTGCCAGCCAGCCAGCCAGCCAGGCCAAAACCCGACCAGACCCAGAACCAGACCAGACCAGGTCGCAGTTGAGTTGAGCTGGGCTGGGACGGGCCCTAAATAAATACAATTGGACAGCAATGGGATGACGACGGCCGACCCGACCACTTGGCTGTGCTGGACTGGATTGGCTTGGACTGTGGACTGTGGACAGCGGACAACGCTTCGTCGGCGCGAACTTGAAACATTTGTGAGCAGGATTTACGCGTCCAGTTAAATTTACGACTGCGCACCTTTTGCATGAAATTGACGTGGCATTTTATTTACCCCGCCACCTGCAACCTGCCACCCTCCGACTCTTTGCCTTGGATGCGGATCGGATCGGCTGGGATCGTCTTGGATCGGCTCGGGGCACAGACGACGGAGGTCAGGCTGAACGTGTGGGACGGGCTTATAGTCGCCCTCGGATCATGTGTGCGTCTGTCTGTGTGAAGTTAATATCAGGCGAAATACATGGCTTGTTAAGTGATTAATCAGCGCCAGATATAATTTGTGTCTGCGTTAATTTTTTCACGTGAATAAGGAGGTTGCCTTCACTTCTCCCGTCCCTCCATCCACCGTCCGTTCAGCCGCAGTCTTGTCTGTGTGGCTCAACGAAGGAGTCCCCTGTAAATTAGGAGAGGTATGAAAATGCAATCTGAAGCAGCCAGGACGAGGAATATGCCCCATTCAAAAAATACTGATATGCATTTAAATATTGAAACAGAATGGGACATGGGAAAACAATGGAAAACTTCATTCTCCATTATCAAAAATACATATTCGGTACAGTAAATTAAACGAAATTCATTCATTAGTTTTTGCTATTGAATAAATCACTTAATATCTGATGAAATTCACTCACGGCAATCCCATTCCCATTGAGAATCATTGAGGTGCGCTAAGAGCTATGTAAGTGGTGGTTCCTCCATAGCTATGGCTATAGGGGGCACTGCTCTTTCCGGGTTTCTTTGGCATCAATTTGGCTTGGGAATTTGCGGTTCATGAAGCTGGGCGGCGCAGTAGGGCATTGGGTAGGGGTATTGAGGCATAAATTACCCATGCGGGGTTGCAGTCAGTCAGGCATTAGATGGAATCATCGGGTGTGTATTTCGGGAGGGTTGCAGTCGAAGGATGGGCATGGGAACAGGACCAAGAAGTGGCGACAGCCCAAGGCGACCGGACTAAACCGTCTCAGAGTGTCTCGCTCACACACTCGGCACAAAACAAGCAAACAAAACGAAGCCCACGGCAATCTTGTTATCGAAGATGGGACCGGAGGGTGAGAAGGTGGCTGGATGGTTAGATTGGCATGGGCTAGGGATCGGAAATGGGGGCTATATATAAACTACTTCAGGTAATCTAAGGATTGGAAATGCTAATCGCCTTTATTTCGGTACAGCCAACAACAAACAAAGGCACAGCAGCAGGCAGCGGCAGCAGGCAGCAGCCTTTTCGCTTTGTCACCGCTACATGGGCCGTGGAGGGTCGGGTCCTGGGTCCCGGGTCCTGTATCCGGAGACAGACAGCATAGGGCGACGGGCTTTGATAATTGAAACCGTAAAGTTGTTCAGCTTTGCCTCGCAGGATGTAAGCGGCGGCTGCCAAAGGATTCTCTCTTGTTCTTGTTTTTTTTTTTCCTTTATAAATGTTTGTTGTTTTTTTTTCGTACTTTTCCCTTCTTTTTTGGTGTCGCTTGTCGAGTTATTCGTGCGATTATTCTTGTAGGGTATTGCTGTCGTCATCCGCTCTCCCTCCCTAAGAGGACATTACAGGGCTCCTCTTTTGCATATCCCTTGCACGTCCCTTGAGTGTGAGCTCTGCATGTCAGCGTAAGTCAGCCCCTGAAACGCACAACTTGAAGGCATCCATCCGCTCCTTTTTGATATTGCCTCGAATTTCAGGGCAGCCCTCCCTCATCCCGGTCGCCTTTGTGTCCTGGGCGCCTGTCCTGTGGCGGCATAATTGCAGGTTGCAGCCAAAGGCTTTGATTTTCGGGTACTTCGCCGCGGTTTGCCCGCTGCCAGGTTCTTCGTCGTGTGTTTCATATTTCAGTTTGTCAAGTCTGTTCCATCTGATGCGTTTTTATTTGTTTGCTATCTTTGTCTCTGTGCCAACATCATCAACAGCGACTCATCGTCATTGCCAACGTTTCGTTTGACAATTTTCCGCCTGACATTCAAGATTTTAATCGCTGCCATTTGCCATAACTAGATTCTTGGGGGTTTGTCGTTCGTCGTTTGCCGTTTGAACAGTCTCCGATTTCTCTCGCTTCATTTGGTGTGTGCCTCACACACCCTTTGGCCCAAGAAAATACAGCAGTTTGGATTCGGAATTGGATTCGGTATGGCTTCATAAGTGGAATGGGAAGCTGCGCTCTTCAGCCACACTTGACATTTCGCCAATCAAATTATTTCACTGGTGCGTAACACTCGGATTAGTTCTATTTAAAGCATGCAAATGTCAGGTGTAACACAAACTCCTGAAGGTTATACCACTTATAGCACTGATTAGGTAACGATTTGGGGTGTTCCCAAATCCGTATTCCGATGAAGTTGCTATCTCTCTGTTAGCTCTTGTATCTTTGCTCCACTTAGCTCAAATGGCCATTCGCTTTTAATGGCTTGCCTCAAACTCCATTACGCGCCTCATTATTGCCAGGGCAGCGGCAAACAAAAGCGTTTCCGCACAATGGCAGTTGCCGCCAGTTGCCGAAAAATTAAAAGCGAAATTAAACACATTCAATTAAATATTGTGTGTAATTTTTCGCAACACAAAGTTGGCCTGGCCAACATCCCGGCAGCCGGCAGCCAGCAGATCCCCCCCAAACCCAAAAAGGTGAAAAGTTATTCCTGCTACGTTGGCATTAACGGTACGTCGTTGTACGTACCTTCTCCATCACCTGGCGGGGGGTGCGTGTTGTTTTTTGTTGTTGTTGCTGACCCCCGACGCTTTGTTTGCGGGGATGCTGACAGGGGCAGGCAGGATATTCGGAAGGGACTCCCCCAAAATATGGAAGAGTAATGCCGAACATCAGCGCTTATAACTGTGCCGATTATGAAGTTAATTTATCAGCATCAGAGCGGATGAGCAGTCAGTCAGTCAGTCAGTCAGTCATTCAGACGGGGATTCGTGGGTGGGTTGTGGGTCGCTGATTGTGAGCAGCTTGTGGAGGCGGCACGGCTGGCATTTTGAGGGGACGGGGGCAGTGGCTGGGGGCGGACATTCATTAAGCCATCAAATGGCCGAAGACAAATTTAGCCAGTCAAATGAATAAGTGAGCAGGTAACGAGGGTCGTTACAGCAGTGATTCGAAGGGTTACTCCACTCCACTCCCATATAAGAGTAGAGTTTGTTTGTATGGTTATACTTACGTCCCGTAATCCCCTACAAATTTATCGAGCACCGCTCGCACATCAGCTTAAAGCTGACTGCTGAGGCACTGCCACTGCCACTGCTGGGGATAGTTGTGTGGGAAGTTCCTTCAGCTTGTAAGCAGTTGCCAAAGTTCCTTGTGTTCCGGCAACTTTCTTCTGCCACTGCTCGCCCCTGCCTGATGCCTGTAGTTCACTTGCAGAAATTCCTGCTTCAATTTACTTTCAACATGCTTTCTCTAGAAGTCCTTTTTTGTTGCTAAATATCCGCACTCGCTCACAGAAAAAAGGAAGACGATGGCAGAGACGGAGGCGGCGGCGGAGGCTTGAGCCAGCTCTAACGATAAGACGCACGCACACGACACTGTAAAGGGGAAGATTGGGGCGGAGTTGGGCATGGGGTTGGAGTGGGTGATGGCATCGTCTGCACTGCCGTAGACATTACCACAGCCACGCGCGTGTTTTACGTTCATCTGTCTACTTAACGTGGCCCCCAACAGCCCTTACCCCGCCACCCACCCTACCTAGCCATCCTGTTCTAGTCAGGAGTCGGCTCCAGCCACAGCCCTAACTCCTCCCACAACGCTACATCTCCACTTTTAGCTCCTCCACCGTCTCCTCCTCCTGCCACTTGTCGTCGTCTGCGTTTTAACGTACTAATCCTTGCTTTTATCTCTTGTTTGACTTTTGCTACGCGCACTCCATACACCCGCTCATTTAATGTCATTGTCGCGGCCCCAGCCACAGCCATAGCCTTCAGCCCTTACTCCAAGTCCTCTGCCCAACCATTTTCCCGGCAATCCTTTACAAATATTTGTCAATTTGTATGCGCAAGTTTCTTTTCAATTCGCACCACACGGCGTATGCGTGTCATAAGCGTTTGTTAAAGTGTTTGGGCCTTGATTTCGCCAGAGACGTGAAATGCGACTACGAGTATGTGTACACACGCTTTTCCTCATCGCATTTTGATTTCCATTTATTTGCTTTTCATTTTTCATCCCGTTCCCGTTCCGCGTGCTGGCCGCACACGAATTTCCTCTGCTTATTTTTCATTAATCAACGGCACGTGACCGAGTATTAATTTTTAAACCAATTGGGAATTTCTTCCTTATATTTTTGTGTATACTCGTCTATTAAATACCCCTCAGCGAGTCATTTCCTTGGGAAAACCTTTGCTATTCGATACATAGAAGTATCCTTCTGGTCGAGGGTAATTCACAGTCTTCATTAATTTTTATAATTTGTTTGTATTTATTGTTTGTTCTGTAACTACGTGGCGTATGCGCACATAACAAACAATCCGACTTTGCTCTTCAGATTCAATTAAATTTTTGTATAGGCTCCAACAGGTTTTTTTTTTTGTAAAATAAAGTACGAACTGCCCCAAAGGAATTTAGTATGTAGGAATTTGCAGTCGGCTCATTCGCTGTATCCCCTACATCTCCCCTACAACATTCTCAACGTAATCCATTCCCACTTTGAGAACTTCTAATGAGCAACTCTTCAAAGTGTCGTCTGGCATACAGGCAACACAATAAGCCCGAATTAGCCAGATGACAATGACAACGAGTCTCTGTCCAGAGAGGTAGAGAGAGAGAGAGAGAAGCACTGGGAAGCCCCGGGGATCTGTGGACTGGTTTACGTACTGTTATTTATTATAATTAACAAAAATTCAAAGGGATAAATTGTGAAATTGTGCTTGAAAAGTAAATGCTGTTCATTAAAGAGCAGAACAGAGAACACCGAACACCGAACACCAAACACTGAACCCAGAACCCATTGGAGTGCGGATGGGAGCGCCAATGCGGATGCGGATGCGGATGGGTATCCAGGGAGCTTCGAGTTACCGCTAGCTTGTGTGTGTCTTGCCATTATATAATAGACATTATCAGCGCTAATTCAGTTATTTCTTAATTATAAACTACTTACGCCCGCTCCGCTGCGAGCGTGGCTAATTTTCTAACCCTGGGAAGCCAGCACTTGGCTGGGTACGAGTACGGCTGGAGAGCTGGAGAGCTGGAGTGGGGCCAGTGGGTTCGACGCGGGGCACGTGTGACATTCGCCTTGTCTGCGGGTCGCTGCCGTTACTGTCACTGTCTCAGTTACAGCTTTTGCCTTCAAGTTGTCTGCATAATTACCAAAGTTGTGTGTAGTTATGATGGCTCAGATTACGTCGCCCAACTTTGGCCGGGCCTGATGATGGCCAGACGCCGCAACGCGATGCCGGAGAGTGCACATAATTGCCGCTACCCAAGTAGATGGATAGCTGGCGGGCAGTGGAGCCGAGCCGTTTGTTTGTTCAATTTGCTACCCCTTTAAGGGCCCACCCCCCCACTCGAAGGCCAACTACAATCGGAAAGTGCCTCCGCCTCTGCGCCCGCACGGTAACCACTTCAAGCAGCCCAACTTTGATTGAAATATACAATTTTAATGAGGCAGCAGCTGGGCTACAGAATAAGCTTTTTATTTTGCTCCTTTTCGCATTGTAAAAATTGCGAGGAATAAACAAATAAACCAACAAAACAAACTCAAAGAAACAATGAAGCTAGAGTCGGAATCGAGTTAGGGGTGGCACTTGGAGTGGGGTGTGGTGTGGGGTGGTTGGGTACGGCGATGCCAACTCGAGACAACTTATGAGACATTTCAAACAGACGAAAGACAAACAGAGGCGGGACAACTCCATTGTGTTCTAGTTGCTGCGCTACTCTAAAATGTATAATGTTTGCCAGGTGGAAAACATTTGCAGGAGACATCATTTCAATTCATTCTGTATCTGTATCTGCAACTGTCAACTATTCCTACACATTATAGCTATAGTGGTTCGAATTTCTCATTGGAATTACTGCTCTGCTCGCCAAAGGTCCCTCAACAAATTTTCTTTAACTCTAGAATTACAGTGGAGTTTGCTCTTGGTTGGAATCGAATTTTATTACAGCTGCAACTGCTTTTAATTACAACAGATACGAGATACGAGCCGAATCTATCGCTGATTACCTTTCATGACTCCATCCCAGTGCAACCTTCCGTGGAAATACTCAAATACGAATATTTCTGTGAAATAATGAAAATCAAATTAAATTGCTGACCACCAAACGAAGCCAAACCCCAAAATATCAGACTTCTGGCTGAACAAATGATATCGGTAAATGAGGTATTAATTAGCATCGAACTACTGTGCCACAAGGAAATAACTAAAGCTCTCGCCACACCACACTCGTGAAGAGAATTGAAGAGAATTACGGAATGCAAAGACTGGCAATACACCACACACACACACACACACACACACACACATTGAATTGAGAATTGAGAAAGAGAAATGATTAATTACGCTGCAGAGTTGCCGAGCTGACTCCGAGTATGATTTATTGTAATTTAATTGTGGCACATTATGCGGTCGATTTGGGGTTTGCATTTGAATGGCATTTTTGAGCGTAGAAATGCTCCAAGTATTGGCCAAACAGCAGAAACGCCCCTGGCTGCACGGCCCACAAAAACCCACAACAGAAATCCATACTCAAGGTGAACGGAAAGTTTTGTCTCGTCCAGCTGGACGACTGGGGAAAACAGAAGCAAATTATCATCCTGCCGAGGAAAAGTTGAAGGACCGGCAAGGAGCAAACTGGCCCCATTGATGGCTTTGTTTGTTAGTCTGTCCTTCTGTCTGTCTGTCTGTCTGTCTTTCTGGGCGTGTATCCAGGTGAAAGGAATTATAGGTATATTCCCATGATTATAATTTCATCAGTGGCAACACTAAAGAATCATCAAAGGCACGGCGAAGACGATTCCACCAGCTCCACTCGGCGGTGCTCCACATCTTTGTGGTTGCAATGATTGAGCACACAACACAGGATTGGGTGGGTGCCCGCCCTGCCACTCCACAGCATGCTTCGGTGTACACTTATTGACTGAGTTGGTCGCCGTCAGTCAAGTCCTTGGCTGTCGCCACTGAAGCGCAGGAGCCAAGCCAAGCCAAGCCAGCGCTGGTATTCCGTGCCCGGGCCTGGGTCCGCTCTTCACATGCCCCTCTGTGCTGTGCTGTGCTGC